CACATAGTGTTGCCACCTGGATGATTTTTAACTGGCCTGGCACTTTTTGTCCTACCTTGCCTGTTGCCAGTGAAAAGATTTAACGTCTGGGGGTCTGATGTCCCTCTGCCAGACGTGAGTATGGACAGCCACACATGCAGTGAATTTGTATCTACCACGCAGGACACGTGGCCGGGTGTGCAGCTGGCCCTGCTCAGCCTGTTGAACCACGGCAATTTCTCTCAGTGCCAGGACGTGAGCTGGACTCACAGCTCACCAACAGGGAGGGGCAGGCGCAGGGTGGGAGAGGCAGAGTCTCCTGGGAGGGGACGATGGGGGGAAGGCTCCCTCCTGGGCTGAAGCTCCTGGGAGGCGCTGGGTGTGAGGGTTAATGATGGGCAAGGCAAGGGCTCCTTGTGCAAGAAAGAACGGCTGTGGTCACAGCTGTGGGGAAAGGGGCCAGAACCTCACCCCTGTTCACCACTGAACATCTCTTCTATTCACCCAACGGGAATGTCATTTATCCTTTATGTATTTGTTAGAATCTCACCAGGGCAGGAGAATGCAGCTCTGAGGATCTGTCATTCCCTAACAGAACACAGTAATACCTATATAGCGGTTCGGGGGTTTTGGGGGTCGATTTTGTTGCCCACTCACTCCGCGTTTTAGGTAGGCTTGGGACGATGAGATTTTTAGCGGTAATTGTCAGCAAACATCAGTTTCCCCGCGCACGCCTCCAAACCAAGGGGAAACGTTTCCATCGATAACAATCAAAATGTGCAGCTAGACAAAGAAAGAAAAATGCTCCTGGAAAACTTTCTAGTGTCCCACCTTATTGTGTAGAAAACTTTCAGCCATGCTGGTGTCACTGGGGCTGCTTTCAGGATAATTACTTTGTACAATTTGTCATGTGACGTCGACAATTTGTGTTTCTAAATGTTATAAGTAGGCTTGGCAGAATTCTTTTTTAAAATAATTTCCATGCACAGTACTGTTTATTTCTAAGCAAAAGTTTTTGATGTTTTTCATTTAAATTTTCAGTTGTGGAAAATTACTGAGGGGAGGGGAATCAAATCCTAATTCTGTAAAGACAACAGACGTTGATTTTAAAAGGTCACATTTTATAACTATTCAAACACAAATTATTAACAGCATGTGTATAAATATACAAAGTAAATAGCCTTAAATCAAACTCCAATATGTTCTCAAGCAGAATTTTTTTTTATTATTAGCGATGGAAATATTTTGCCAGCAGTTTGCCTGTGTGTGCCTAATTCAGTATTTATCAATAAAAATCCATCCTTCCCAGCATAGCTATAAAGCTTTAACTTTTTGAATCTCAAGCTCTACTGCCATTAAATAACTGTCTGACCTTCACATATGGCCTGACCCCCGACACACACAAATTCCCACAACCCGTGAAGAAGCCGAGCTGGAAGGAGACAAAGGGGGGAGAGCCAGACAGACACAGGCAGATGGCCAAGGAGGGAGAGGGACGGGCTGTGGGAACCTCCAAAGGAAAGACCCTTGTCCCTTTTCCACCAGCTGGGAGAGCCACAAGCCCCGACCCCAGCGTGATGGGCTGTGGGGGAGGGGTCCAAGCCCTGCCCCACTCACCTTGTAGAGGGCTGCGGTGATGAGAGCCAGCAGGACCAGGCCCCCCACGCTGCTGCCCACGATGATGGGCAGGTAATTATAGACCTTGTAGCTCTCCACCATGGTCTGCATCTGGGGGAGAGGAACTGTGAGATGGGGACCCAGGAGTCCTGGCACCATCACCCTCCCCGCTCTAACACACCAGACCCCACTTCCTCCCCGAGCAGGGACAGGACCCAGGAGTCCGGGCTCCCAGCTCTAACCACTGGCCGATGCTCTCTCTATCCCGGGCGCAGTCACTCGGGTACCTGGCGCTGGATGAATCCCTCCTTCTGGGTGTATTTCTTCTCCTCGTATTCAATCCGGGCCTCGCTCACCAGACTCACTTTCTGCTGCTGAGTCTGGAACAGAGAAATTTACCGTCCCTGACCAGAAATGACACAAACCAGCCCGGAGCATCGTCCCAGGAGGACCCAAAGCAATTTACAGGCCGTTCACACAGGGATTCCTTGCCCAGCACTGAGAGGCACGGGGCTGTTCCCATTGGGTGGGTCCCTCCCCTAGTGCTGGGAGGCGGAGGCAGAGGCAGCTCTTGTACCTGGGAGACCCACTGGAAGCTGACGTTCCCTTTGATCATAAACTCCAGCGGTTGCTGCATTTCCAGGGAGGTGATTCTGCACCGGATCTTCTTACAGGTGGCCACGGAGCAGTCCTGGGGGTGGAAGGATATCGCCGGGTGAGGCAGGGGGCATGTAGGGGCTCAGCATGGCCATGAGGGTCTGCGTCTGTCTATAGCAGGGGTCCCTCTCCCAGCTCAGCCCCCCACTTGCTGTCTGTGTTAGTGTGGAGGGGAAGGGGCTGCTGGGATCCACACCAGCCTATACTCACCAGCAGGGGGCGCTCGCTCATTTGCTTCACAAAGTCCTTTGAACCGGGCGTTTCAGCCTCACTGGCGCACTGAGCCAGTTGGGGCTGGGGAGGGAGAGAAACACGGTGTTAATGGGGGTTGGAAGGGGACATGGGGCCTTTTCCCTCTAGGGGGCACCAGCACCAATCTGGCACCAGGGCAGGGGATTGGCTGGATCAGGGGCAGAGGAACAGGTCTTTTCCCCCTAGGCAGCCTATCCCAGCACACAAGGGCAGGGAGAGGCAGGTACCTTGGAGGGGACAACCTCAGAGGCGTCCCACACCCGGACCCCGCTCAGCTCCACGGGGAACTGGAACGTGACTGAGATGGGAACGCTTCGCTGCTGCAGATTCTTGACCTGAAAGAAACAGACTCACCATAGGGCACTGCAGGAAGAGAACCCAGGAGCTCTGATCCCCAGGCCCCGCTCTAACCCTGAGACCCCACTCCCCTGCCAGAGCTGGGGATAGAACCTAGGAGTCCTGGCTCCCTGCCCACCTCCATCCCTCAGTGCTCTAACCCACAAAATCTGACTGAGGCAGTTCCACTCCCTCCCTCTAGCCCTGTATCCCCCCTAACACTGTGCACCACCGGCCTCACCTCGTACCCATGTGTCACTGGCACGCTTGTCCCTGCCTCCTTGGTGGAGAAGTTGACGTACTTGGTTGACTCCTCAAGGCTGGGGAGGCAAAGGATGGAAAGAAGGTGAGAGATGGGAGTGTGATGGATGGGGCTGGAGAGTGGGAGTGGGGTGTCATGTCCAGAAGAGGGTGCTGTGCTGCAAGAAAGGACTCAGTAGGGGGCACACTCCTCTTGCAGTCAGCGCTGGAACGTATGATTAAGTGCAACACTAGGGACACTGTGCTGCAGGGAACAGGGTGGGGGCCCAGCAGGGGGCGCTTTCCCATCTGTCTCCGCACTGACCTACCTGGTGAGGATGATGAAGATGCCGTACTTGACCGGCAGCTCTGTCCGGAGAATCATGCGCTCAGTGATGGGGCCGCCATTGTCACTGGGGAGAGGGGGAGCAAAGGAGACAGATGTGAGGAGATGCAGCCAGTTAACTGTGCAAGGAGGCTGCACCACAAGCCTCTGCACTGTCCTGCTCCATGCCCGGCCCCTTCCTACTGCCCCCCAGCCCACCCCTGGCCTTGCACAGCCCCCTCACCTGCTGGCAGTGGCTGTGATCTGCAGCCTGTCCCCCAGGTCAGCCTCAGAGGAGACATAGAAAGTGGCAACAAAGATGACCTGGAAAACACACGGGGGGTGAGAGAGCCAGTGAGCTCGGGGTCTGGGGAACTGCCAGAGACTGCGGGGGCGGGGCAGACACAGACGATGGCTGGGGGCCTGTTGTATGAACTTAGATGGAATAAATGGTCCAAGAGCGGCAAAGGGCGTTAACATGACCCTGTCCCTGTCCAACGTTAAACAGCGTTAACCTGGTTTGGGATCCAGAGACCTCAGCCGGCTCCGTGCTGTGGCAACACTCCATTAACCATCATTTTAATGACCCCAAATGGGGGAGGAAACAGCCCCTCCCTTTGTTCTTTTCTCCCCCAGTGAGACCTGATTTCCAGCCCCCCAAGTCTGGCCCTTGGTTTCCAGCCCCGGCAGGGCCTGACCCCAGCCCCGGAGTGACCTCAGGGCTCTGTTTGCACTGACTTGCCGGGCTCCCCGGGCGCTTTCCCCAGCACATCTCTTGTCTTGGGCTGGGCTGACCCCAGGGAACTGCCCCTCTCTGCTCCCAGCTGGGCTCACCCCTGGGGAGTTCACAGGCCAGGGCCCGTCCTCACCTCGGCTCCGCTCCAGAAGATGGGGTGGTTGATTTGGCAGATGCTGTTCCTTTGAGATTGTTCCTCTGAGCCCTCTGCTGAGCTGCACTTAATGGTCATGGCCCTCCTGTTAGACTGAGCACAGGGGACCAGCCAGTGAGAGATGGGGCCACAGCGCCCCCTGCTGAGCCACTCCCCTGCTCCCTGCAGCACAGCGCCCCCTGCTGAGCCTTCTCCCTGCTCCCTGCAGCACAGCGCTCCAAACTGAGATCCCCTACCTAGCTGCACACCCAATCATTGCAGCACAGAACCCCTTGCTGAGCCCCTGCCTGCTCCCTGCAGCCCAGCACCCCTTGCTGAGCTCCCAAGCCGCTCCCCATGGCACAGCGCCCCCTGCTAAGCCCCTGTCTGCTCCCTGCAGAGCAGCATCCCTTGCCAAGTCCCCTGCCCACTCTCTGGAGCACAGCGCCCCTGCAGAGGCTGCCCCTCATGCCTGGTATGCATTGGGGTACCTGGAGCAGCAGGACCCGGCGGTAGGACAGCGCGGCCGGGTAGAAGAACCGCACCCTGGTGTTGTAGGAATTCTCCCCATGATTCTGGATGGAGACGGTGGTGTTGAGTTCGGGGGTGACCCCCACCACCAGGGTGCTCAAGCTATGCGGGAGAGAAAGGGGTGAGCTTCCTCAGAGCAGCTTCCTCCCTGGCTGCTCTGTGAACTTCCTCTAGCAGTGCCCAGCCAGGGACCCCAGTGCTGCAATCTTCGCCACAGCAGTGCCCCCCACCCAGGATCCATCAGCACTGGAAATCCAAGGTGTGATCAAGCTCGACGGGTCCCCCCATGGCGGGTGATTTTGCAGGGAGGATTCAGTGACTTACCCAGAGAAATTGAAGGAGACTGCTAACTGGTCATCGCAGCGGCCATCCGCGCCGCAGTCTTTCTGAAACGGGAGCTGGGGAGGGCAGGAGGGCAGGGGTCAATGGGGAGAGGGCTGCAGCACCATCTGCCAGAGCAACATTGCAGGGACCCAGGGGCCCTCCAGTTACCCCAGTACCTCCCAGTCCCCTGCACAGGAGATAGTTGAACCCATCATCGGACCCACCCTTGCCACCCACCCACTCACCCACACCCCTCCTCCCCATTCCACCTCCCGGCTCCAGCCAACAACAGTATCACACTTCTAGGGGTGCCAGGGCAGGGGGCCTGCCTGGCTGGCGGGGGATGGGGAACAGGGCATGGGGCCTTGCCCCTCTAAGGGGCCCTGGCCAAAATAAGTTTTGAAAATTTTTCAGCAAAAATCCTTTTTTTAGCCAAAAATCTTTTTGGTTTTTTGGACAGAAATTCTGGGAACTTTGAGGAGAAGTTGGAATGTTCCCACCTAGGGGAAACAGGTCCCTAGCCAAGGCAAACTGGGCATCCATCTCTGTCGCCCTCTAGTGTCCATACTCTGTAAGGGGGTTAGGAAGCTGCTGCTGGTTCTGCACTTTTCAGTCTCTCGCTTTTGAATGCCAACATCACTGGTTTGATCCCTGCAGCAGACCCACCGTGGGGCCTGGCTCCGGCACCTTACCGAGCCTGCAGACGCCAGCACAGAGTCCTCGCTCAGGATGGGTCTGAGGCCACGGGCGGCAGCGATGGGCTCCCCCGTCAGGGTGTAGTTGAAGCGTAGGGTGATGGGGGTCAGAATGTCTCCGGGACAGAGCTGGGGAAACAGAAACACGTTGGGCCCCTGAATGGAAAGGGAAACTGGGATCCAGAGAGACGTTTGTTCTCTGGGTGATTTGGGAGCAAGGGGTAGGGTGGAGGGGCAGACACAGTGGGAGAGGAAGGAGTCGGGATACCCAGCACTCACAGGTAACATTATCCGGTACATCTCACATTTCTTTTCAATGCTGAGCTGCAGCTCCCTGCTCAGGACGGGGCTGGTGGAGTTGAAGGCGACTTGGATCTTCGTCCGCCCGGGGTCCAGGGCCAGGCTGTACTGGATGATGCTGTAGATCCTGTCACCTACGGGGGAGGGAAAATGAGGAACAGAGAGAGACACAGCGGGAACCTCAAGGGGAAATGGGACACGGGACCTTTCCCCTCTAGGGGGAGCTGGCTCGAGTCCAGCCCAAGGCAGGGAACTGGCTGGCTCAGAGTGCAGGGGAGCGGGAGATGGGTTTGGTCTGACCTAGGCTGTCCATGGTGCTCTTAGTGACAGTGAAGCAGACCTCTGCACTGCTGGCCTCCGTGTTGAGCTGCTCCTGCCCCTGGCAGTTGAAGGCCGAGGTGGGGATCGTGGGGGGCTGGAAGCTGATGGAGACCCCGACTCTGAGCACCGGCCGGGACCTGCCATGGGGGGAACAGAACCATCACCCAGCTGCCACTGCAATGGGGCTAGGCCCCCTCCCTGCCCTGAGCCTCCCACCCAGCCTGGATGTCCTCACAGCAACCAAGAAAGAAAAGGTATGGATTCAGAAGAAGATACCAGTTCTGGGAGGGAGTTTGGGAGCAGGAGGGAGTTTGGGGTGATGCACAGCCCCTCACCACCACACTCCCTGGACACACTATGCCCAGCACCCCCACCCACAAATCCATAGTGCTGTGAACACTACCACTTCCCTCACCCTCAGCCCCACCTCAACCAAGAGGAGCAAGGGCAGGGGAGGAATCAGGGAGACATGTGGGAGCATCAGGGGGAACTCAGACTCAAACTTTGCTGGAGCTGGGCCCCCAGGCCCGGAATATTTCTGGAGCCCAAGCACCACGGGCTCATGCAAGTCACTGGCCCTGCAGCAAAGCTATTATTGTGCCTTTCTCCAGTACAGGTGAGACAGACAGACAGACACACAATGTATTGCTACTGTGTGCAGCCTTCACTACACTACAGATAACTGAGCTTAATGAAGCATGGCAGATTACTGGTTCTCATTCTCAAAATGTTGCCTCAAAGCCTCCCTGATTCAAATAGCCCCCATTGTGCCCCTCCAATAGCCATGTTATCTGGCTGCTCAAAATCAGCATCCAGGTGATCTGGCTCAGCACTCCACCCCAGGCAAGCTTTTCACCCTTAGCCCCACAGGCAGCTCTGACCATAGGAATGTTTTCCTCACTAAGATCTAACCTTCCCTAAAGGCATCGCCAACGCGCTTTTAATGTGCCAAAGGCACATTCCACAATCATTCTGCATCTACTCAGTCTGTTGTTGAAGCACTCCTTGCTGCTGTCCAGGTTTCCCATTTAAGGCTCCATGAGCCATGGGAGTAAGGGATATGCTCGTCATCTCAGAGCTGCATAACAATGTGATCCCACAAATCAGTGCTTGTTTCCCAATATCAAAAGTGACGGTCCACTGTGTTCAGCTGTTCCATGAATGTCAAAAGTAATCTGGTGTTGGTTCTTTCCAGGGCACAGAGCAGGTCAGGTCAGGCAACTCTGGTTCAGATTGGGAGCTCATGATATACTGCATGACCATCCACGATGCGTGCGTAACAGTGACCACAATAGTAGAGATCAGTGCAGGATTCATCTTTTCAGACAGAGGTGGCAGGTGCACAGTAAACATTGAAAAATGCCACAGAATGCAGTCAAAAGCCCATGGAATGCTGGGACGGAAAGAACTGCATCATGGGACATTGATTCCACACCCATGATGCACTGCGATCCACTCCACCTTCCAACACCTAGCTGTGGAATGTGGTGAGTAGCACACTGAGATCGGTCCCACAGTGCACTGCTCTCACTCTCATTGCTACAGCACCAAGTGTGGATGCGCTCTGCTGACACAGGGACCGTAGTGTGGACAATGGAATAGCGATGTGGACACTTTTAGGTCGTCAGCATAACATGTATTGAAAACACTCTGTAGTGTAGACAAGGCCTGAGATTGTCGTGCGGAGCAGTGCAATGACACAGAGTTACTTACCTCAGGAGCAGGACCTGCCCTTGTGCCCCCACCGCGATGTCCGGCAATCCATCCCCCGTCAGATCTGTCCCGCCACTGACAGCCTGGCCAAAGTAGTGCAGCTTGCTGGGAAACTGTGACCCCACTATGCGCTGTAGGGCAGAGAGAGGTGAGTGTACTATATAAGGGATGCAGAAGGGGTGAGTGTACTATATAATGAGCACTAGGGGGCACCAGAGGATAAGGGCTAGGAAAGGGGTGAGTACACTGTATAATGGGCACTAGGGGGCTGTGGGGTCCCATGCTGTCCCTTCAGGGCTGTGTACTGACCCCTCCCCATAGGAACTGGGCTCACCTGTCTGTACTGGGGGCTGAAGCCTCCCTTTTCCCCATGGAAGATGTACAAGGCCCCATGATTGTCATCCTCCATGGGAGCCCCGATGGCCACATCTGTCTGTCCGTCCCCGCTGATGTCCCCGATTTCAGACATGCTGGCCCCGAAGTGCCCAGACACTTCCCCCGTCTGCCCATGTAGCGTCTTGGTGCAGATCATCGTCGTCCCCTGCAGGCCCAATCCACATGGAAAAAGGATCAGCACTTGCTGTCATCAGAGAGTGATCCCTACCAAGCTCCTTCCCCTCTCTCAGCAGCACAGTGTGTGTCCCCCCTCCCGACTCTGGGGCCTGGGGTCAGAACTGACTGGGAGGGAAGAGCGCCCCCTACTGAGCCTCTACCCTGCTTCCTGGAGCACCATGCCCGCTACTGCAATACTAATTGTCACAGCATCACAGCAGTCCAGGCAAACAAGAACCCCCGGCCACCCATCTTCCCCATGGCTGCACTCCTTTTTCTTACCGGCAAGTTAATTGGGCAGATATAGACGCGTCCTCCATTCAGAGGTGTACGGTACAAAGGGGCTCCGATTAGAACCAGGTCCGTGTTCCCATCTCTGTCGAGGTCCACAGCACACAGTGTACTCCCGAAATACGAGCTGTCCTGGAGAAGCAGATAAGCCAACCCCTCAATTTAGTCACCTCCTGCTTCTTCTCCCACTGGGACCCTTCTCACCCTCTGGGGATACGGATTCAGTCCCAATGTTCATTCCATCTTTAGTCTCACCCTCCTTCAGTGCAGCCGGTGGCGCTATCTCTGTAAGCGTTCTTGAACAGACAGGCAGATAGACCTTGGAGGGCCGGGGTTGCTGAATGCTAACTGTGGTGCAATTCTTTTTAGAGGTTGGGCTATCACAAGTCAAGTTCATCACTGACTGAGCCATTGTTATAAGTTTTGTTTAGGTGGTATGTATAGGCAATTGGAGCTTAGAGAAATTCACTTTGTTAGTGTAGTGTGATCTTTTTCAGCCACTGTTAATATCACTAGTAATGTTATTTCCTTGCCTGAGTCTCTCTAGCCTAGATCCACAAAGGTACTTATGTGCTTAACCCCCTGGACTTAACTGACTCTGTGAACCGCAAAACCTCTTCATGGCTGCCGCTGACCCCTGTAGGTTCCTAAACTGACTTGGTGCCTACGTTTTTGCAGCAGAAGCTCCTTTGTTGCTGTCTTAAGGTCAGGGCATGTGCCTTACTGTCTTACTCTAAGTGTGCAGTTGCCTGGTGCCCATTTCCCTCTGCCCCCATCCCAGCATGATCCACAAACTAGGGGAAGACAGGTGCTCCTCCATCTAACTCCTCCTCCTCCGGTCGGTGTGGTCAGAGAAGAAGGAATTGAGCAGGCACCTGCTATTTCTCAGTTCAGTGCTCTAACCCCTGAGCTGTGGGATATTCTGATGTGGGCTCCCTCAGTCTCCCCTCTTAAAGTTGTTCCACTTTAATTGAGTAACTAAGTATCAGGTGGGCCACAGAACATGTGCAAATCACAACCACCCTACAGCCTGAGAGAGGGCAGCTACCTGGTTAAATCTTTCTTCCTAATCAGAAAAAGCAGAGATTTGAACCAGGGGTCACCCATGTACTAGGTGAGAACTCCAACCCCCAGGCTATATGGGAAACCTCTCTTGTCTCTTCCAGCTCATTTGTGAATATCTTGGCAGCTCTGAGCATGCC